AAAAAAAAAAAAGAAAAAAAAAGTATTTTATAGTCCTGGTTTGATTCTATTTGATATAGAGCAATCCAAATATTTTATTTTATAGTATTTTATATTTAAACTTAATATTTATAGATTATATGAAATATTAATAGGTGTACTGGAACAAGTAAATAATGCCATTAACAGCATGCAGAACCTGTCCTATAATGACTCAAGTGCTTGACAACAGGTCTATTTCTCACCTGACTCATGGCCAGGCTGCTGGCACTGTTGAGGGACCATCTAAGGTTCACAGGACTCAGACCTGAGCAGTCACGTGCAGTCATAGGATTTTCTGAGAGAGAATTGAAGATTGCAATAACAACAAAAAGAAGAAAGCAGACAGTCTTTTTTGGCTGAAGAGCATTGTATTCAGCTTACCAGTCTGCTCCAAGGGTTTCTGATCACCACTGATTTTATGTGCAGCATAATAAACTCTGACAGCTCCAGGCAGACAACTGAAATAAAAGCACTATTTGTTCTTTCACTGTCACCATAGGACAAGCAGTCTATCTGGATCTATGCACTGTAGGATTTTATTGATTTTCTGAAAGTAATTACGATACAGCATGATATACAAGAAAAAATAACAAGTGGCTACTATTACCAGAAGTAACAGAGATAGGAGGAAAAAAATGCAAATAATATAATATTCTGTCAATTTCCATGGACTTTAAGAGACATTTTCAGGTTCAAATGAAATAAATCTTATCACAGTTCTTCTCACTTGCAAATATAAATACTCAAATCATTGTATTACAAAGTTAGATATATTAGCAGCTTGTTATTCAAGTTTCTTTTAGTATTTTTCTGGATCATATGTAAAGTTTTATCATTTATGAATGCACTCTGGTACAAGTCTTGTACACTGACAAAACACAAACCCTTCAATCTTAGTATGATTAGTTAGTTTCCCCTTCAAAGAGCGTGATCTTTTCTTTCTTTTCTTTTCTTTTCTTTTCTTTTCTTTTCTTTTCTTTTCTTTTCTTTTCTTTTCTTTTCTTTTTTTGTTTTTGTGATTTTATTGTCGTTTTCGTTTTTGTTTTTCTTTTGTCTTTTATTATCTTTATATTCTATTATCGGTATTATATTGTATTATAGTCTCTTTCTTTCTCTTCTCTCTCTTCTCTCTATCTCTCTCTTCTCTTCTCTTCTCTTTTCTTTCTTTTCTTTCTTTCTTTTCTTTTCTTTCTTTTCTTTTCTTTTCTTTTCTTTCTTTTCTTTTCTTTTCTTTTCTTTTCTTTTCTTTTCTTTTCTTTTCTTTTCTTTTCTTTTTTCTTTTTTCTTTTCTTTTCTTGGAAGACAATGCTGACCTCTCAGCATGAAATAACTAATTCAGCTGCCCAAATACTGTATCATTTTATAGTATCTAAGAGATTGATGTGGCATTGGTAAATGTGGCCCAGGATCTACAGGAGACCTTTCCATACTTAGAATCTAGAAGTCAAGCAAGATGAACCAGGGCATCTCAAAAGCAGAAGAGGTCCGTGTTTAGGAAGCCAAAGCAGTATCCCATGCAGTTATTGATAATTAACTTTCTTTATCACATTTTTAAAAAAATTCAGTATAAAAGTGATGGCTGAAGGTGCTTTACTTGTTAGTTCTAGCACCACATAAAACAAGGAAGGGTACAGAGAATCACAACCCTGATTTACTGGGAGATATGCTAGATGGCAACTCAGTCATTTCTATTTTTTGACTATATTCTTAAGATGCATTACCTTCTGCCTCCTTAGTCTAGCAAAGCAGCAAGCAATGCAAGCCCTTAAAACATTTTGATGGTACTGTATTCTATGCTCAAAGACATACCATTTCAACAGATGCACTTAAAATGTTTTATATATGTTATTTAAAAGACGCATGATCCACTGGAACAGAAACAGGTCAATGAATGAATTATGTTTCCCTTAGGCTTTACATTGCCATCAGTCACAGGAATATATTACTTTCCTGAATGCAGATAATCAGAATTATACACAGCATTCCAGATACAATCCCACAAGTACCTCATGCAATGACACTGATATTTCCTTATATCTATCAAAAACATCTCTCTTGTGGTTGCATTTGATTTTCTCATATGACATTAGTGGCTATAATCATACACTTCTCAGTCAGTACCCTTCTATCTCTTTCTTCTTCTGTCATTTCTAAATTATGAGTTTCCAGTTATTACAGTAATACCTGCAATTAATCCTGGCACACATTACTTATCCTTTCATCCTATTTCTATTTTATGTCTGAAGGCTGTTCCATTCTTCCCTTATTTCATTTGGCTATTACTGTGTTGATAAGAACTCCCATTTTTGTGCCATCAACAGATATAATCACTCCTCCTCTGCACTAAGATCTTTAATGAAAATATTGAATAAAACTGGTCCTCGATTTCAGTTTCCATTCCACTTAGCCTGTGCATCTCACACATGCCTATAAACTAGGATGCTAGTAAAACAAAATTAAAGTATGTGATATGCTGTTATATACAGAGTGAAGAAAAGCATTTGCTTGTGTAGACTACAGCAGTAGGTCCTTTACTCAGAACTTTTTTAATTTTCCTTACCTGTGTACTGAAATAATGGAGGATGTAAGAAAACTTAAATAATCATTTTTGCTTAGAGCTGTAATTAAACACATCTCAGACTTAATCCTGTGAGATTTGTGCTCCAGGAACTCTGGTATACTCAACACATCAAGAAGTGTTTCCCACAATAAAATGTTGAAACAGCCCCAAGTCCTTGTAACACGAGTCTTGCCCTACTGTCTTTATCTTCTTAGTCCACATGATTTTTTCTTTCCCAGGAACAAGAAAAGTCTGTCAAAGATCGCATGAAACTTGTTTGCATTGAGAAGTTTCAGCAGAAATCTACTGTTTAGATCTGTCCTTGTATGAACTCATCAGGCAGTCTTTCTTTCTCCAGCCAATATCCTGTGAATGCTCCCAGGAGACAGCTCACTTCTTTTTCCCCTGAGATTAATGCTAATGTCCAGTCTGTGTATTGTTTTTAACAATAAGTTTCCAGTACATTATGGTGTTGCATCCTGGTGCTGGTATTACTTTCAAATTCTCTTCCTACTATTCCTCCCCCAGCCAACAGTTCATCCTGGCCGGTCTTCTCCCAGTGTATCCCATATAAGAGTATATACTCTTATAGAGTATGAAAACAAGCTTTTCAGATGTCTTGAAAGGTCCACCTACCCAACAACCTGTCTGCAACAACATCCAGTGGTGAATGCTACTCTAGGGAAAGCATAACAAGAATCACGAGACCTCACTGGTACGCTCTCTGAGACTCCTGAACACAAGCATTAGGGGCTTACTGAGCTGGCAATAGCATTCAGTTCAACGTGTTTAAAATCAGCTGATGAATCTAGCCTCCATCAACTTTTCTAATTGCTTCTATTTTAGTCTCTGAAATATTCTGTTGGCACTGAAAGCCACAATTTGATTACACAGTCTGTGAAAAAAGTACTTTCTCTTACATTACTTTTTTTTAATCTGCTGCCTGTAACTTCATTAAATGCCCTCTAATTGTGGCATTGTAAGAAACACAATAATCATCTTCTATCCATTTTCACCATAGTGCTCAGAGATCTTTATCATAGCCATGTCTTTTCAAACCTGAGCAATTCCTGTCTATTTAATTTCTGGAAGATATGCAACATTTTTCATAGCTGTTGTCTTTGCACCTTTTTTTATTCCTCTCATATCCTTCTCTGCTGGAATTGTTTGGACTGCTGCTTTAAGCTGAAGGCAAACCTTACATTCATAGTGTCATAAATGTATTTCATTCCATAAGGTGAGATCTCAAAAGGCAATGTTATTGCTAGAAGAGTAACTCCTCTAGCCAGGAAGAATCTGAGAATTGTCTTTCTCTTAATTTCTTGGTTGGGATGCAGTATTCCCTAAGCTATGGTGATCCAGAACTGACTCCCACATATCATTCTCAACTAAATATTCTAACATATTTTGGAATAATTTTAAGGAATACTTTAAAGACAGGGATAGGAAACCATCAGTTTCTTTCTTAGAAAGTGTTCCTCCACCTTAAAGCTATCTGTGGCAAAGGGCAAAGAACTCTGAAATACAAGGATGGGTTAGACCTTTCTCAGGTTTAGCTTGGCTTCTTAAAGTCAAACATATTCAGTACTGAAATATCAAAATCAAACTCCCCTGCCAACATTTGGAATTATCTGAAATTCCATTTTTTCCTAGGAACACATTCCACAGAAAAATATTGCAACCAATTCTAGTTAATAGTCTTCAGTAAAAAAATATATATATATATAAAAAAAAAATAACAGAACTGAATGAGTCATATTCTCAGTTGGGGATATAGAAAAGCTGAAGAAGGAATGAAAAAATGGGCAACATGAGTAGCATTTGTAAGGCTGATGACGTTACAGTGTGCCAGCTTCCTTTGTTCTTGCATGGGTACCAATGAACTAATGTTGATATTTCATTGTAATGTCACCTGATTTCAAACTCTGTACTTCAGGACTTAAATCTGGTTCTTTTCCATTTTTCTACCGAACAGAGAACTGAACAGTCACTGGAAGAAATTAGCTGTTATAGTATCACCCAAACCAGACACTTCCTTTCCAACAATCTGTTAGATTTCTTAAGCAGCTATGTCTCAAAACTCTAAAAATTCAGTCAACAAAGGCTTTGGTAAGGTTTTTATGTGGCGATGATCATGAAAACTGAAGCTTTCATATCAAGAGATGTATACAGTGTGTATTTAACTATCTAACATTCTGTTATAACATATTTTCCTAGTTTTTTGTTTAACAATACATTTGGATTTGTGGTTGAAAGTGAGGTTTGAGAGCTAGGGGTGAAAACAGGTTCTTTTTCTGCAAATATCTTCATTGACTTTTGGGACTCTTTCCATTGAATTGAGTTTTACTATATTTTAATTCTGCTTTTCATGGGTAAGCTGTCAACAGACAAAGGGAAAATTTCAATGATTCATCATGACTTTTAATAGACTTTTGCATGATTTATTGATGTAAATATGCTGCAAATAACTGGGTGGACATTAAAGAGCAAATGAAATGTTTTTTCTTTAACAGACAATTTGGAATTGAACAGTATAAATAGAACATAATCATCACCACTTTATTTTATGTCATTCCAATCTACAGTCAAGTTCTTTTCATATACAAATTCACCTTTTTTGTAATCTTGAATACCTAGAAATCTTGCATAATGAAACATGTTATTTACACTGTGCGTGACACACAAATAATTACAAATAAAACGTATACAAAATGATTAAAATGCATCTTTGCATGAAAAGCAAGGAAGATACAGTAGATGTTCAGATTACCTATAAATGCTTACATATTTGTACATATATTTCTAATCCAAAATTGCTAGATGATCAGGAATACTTGTTCTTATGCCTGCACTACTGGAATGGAAGCAATATTTCCAGACATAATGAGCCACTTATGAAACATTTATGAAACTGCATAGGATGAAATGTAGTAATTTTAGAAAACAAAAATAAAGTATTTGACATTGTAAAACATAAGCAATTTAATCATGCCATACAGATACTTTGTATATTAAACCAATACTGTAAGATGGCATTGTAAATAAACCATAACAGAGCTTTAACGTTTTAAAAATAAGCAATTCACATGGCATTTGTATCATAAAATAGCAGTTGTACAATATTATTTACATTGCAAACCAAAGAGATAGTAACCCCATGAAACCGCAGCAAACAAATTGGTCAAAACATTGATCACAGACCTGATTCATAAAATGTGTACGAATGTGTGTAGAATGTATGGAAAAATAAGTCCTTAGATGTCTGAAATGCTGCATTAGGTACTGGGTGTGTGACTCCCATCCACAACCACCCGATGAGGTATGACCACAGTCCCACCACCCTTGCTCACAACATTTCCAGAAGGCCTGGCCAAAGCAGGCTGTGAGGCCCTCAGCATCCTTTATGTTACCTGCTCACTTGAGCACATGCAGGACTGCAGCCTAAATGGTCCGTGCAACTAAGCTTTAAATCCAGGTGCAGGTCAGGGGAAGGAGCAGTCTTGCTCCTACGTGGAATGCTTAACACATCAATGTGCCAGGCTATGGTTCTGTTTGCAGACTAAGCATTACCCAGCAAATGTAACATCTGCAGAATCATACCACTGATGTTTTGTACAGCAAGGAGTGTGGGATATGGTTTCAAACCTTTTTGCAGACTTTTAGCCCAAAGACTCCTATTGACTATAATATGAGCCACAAGGTTTTTCTTTGCAAGCAAGGTGGTGGAAGTCTGCAATTGTTCAGAACACCAGGTTTCTGGCATGGCAGTATGTAGGATGGTTTTGACTGTGCTGTAATAATCTGATTTATTAGCAGAGGTTTGGGACCACCACAAATCACTGTTGATGCACAATAACATTCAGAATTCCTACCAAAAAAATGTTGCTGGAGAATGTTGCTTGATGAATCCCAACAGGGTGTTTGGGTATTGATCATTTCAACAATGAATCCTTGAACAATGTTTATTAAAAAGGACAGTCACCTCCTGCCCCATGGCAGTATTATAGCTACTCAGTAAATATTTACCTCATAGATATAACTTCTATGAGATGGATGATTAGAGTTGACTACTGCATCTTTATGGTGTTAGTTCCACACGTGGAGATAGCAAATGAGGTTTAAGAGAACATAAATTTTGATAAATGAGCTCTATGTCACAATCACCCTTTTTTTTTCTCCTTATCTTATTGTTCCAGGCAGTTTTCACAAAACAGCAGAAAGTACATGGTAGAAATCATGTACTGCTGCCAATGTTTGAAATTCCAAATGATGCAACTTCTTTGTTTTTGCCCCAGGTTTTGCCAACTGAAATGCATGGTCATGTGTCTGCACTAGGTGAGCAATGTGTCAACGTGTGTTGTGCCTATACACAGGAACTCCAGCACGTGAGATGAGTTCAGTGCATTTGCAAAGTTGGTCTGCTACTAGCAGGAAATCCAGCTTACCCATACAAAACTCTTCTCATCTGGGATACAGAATTTTTCTGCACATTTATAGTGTGGCATTTATCCAGGATTTCCAGATATTTGGCAGCCCAGTCAGAGATATTGATATGGTTGAAGAAATGTAAAAAAATTCAAACAGACAGACAAACAGACAAAAAAAAAAAAAAAAAAAAAAAAAAAGGTATCACAAAAGTAATAAAGCAGCTGCTCATTCATTTGGTAGCATGGGGAGGCAAGTTTGCAACTACCAGACACACTCTCCACCTGTAATGCAGAAACATATACTTATACTAACTATTTGTCTTTTTAAATGATGGGAGAATAATAATAAATGCAGTCTGGATAGTATCTTGAGCACCTGGCAGTGTAACTGAAATGTTACTTTTCAGATCATGTTATTGCAGTGCTTAGAAAACTAAGCACTGTCAATGACTTCCATAGAATAAGCTACATTTTAAAAATCAATTTGGATGTACCTGGCAGGTGAATTGCATCTACTAAATGATTGAATAATGCAACCAGGTAAGTTTGGGGTTTCTGTGTGTGTGGAGAGTGGAGGTTGTTTCTTGAAGCTCTATTGGTTTCAAATGTGAGAAAATGAGAGAAGAAATAAATATTTCATGGGGGGTTGCTATGTGATTCAGCAAAGGTTTTTTTTTTTTTTTAAAAAAAAAAAAAAAAAAAAAAGGAGAACTTAATAACTTCCCTATTGTGTTTGTGTGTGTTTGAAATTTCTGGATTTATTTATTGTTTTATTTGATCATCACTTCAATGACTTTTCTCTGATATATAAAATAGAGTTATCCTGGTCACAAACAGGAACAAAATGTTCTTTAGTGTAGTTTCTCTGGAAAAACATTTTTTTTAAAACTGAATACTATATTACTAATATGGCAAAAAGTAATTAGTGTGAGCTACCTACCAGAAGACTAGGTCAAATAAAGCAAAAATTGTCCTGAAGGAAACTCATGTGATTTATTTGTTTTTTAATCCAGATAATTTCTCCATTACATTAGACTTCCAGATAAAATGGGAAGCAGAAATGTGAATAATTTTTCATGAAGGCTGGCGCCAGTATCCATGGCAAAAGCTTCAGAAAATTTGTCTGCTATAATGACTCAAGAAATTTTGAGAAACTGAGTAAGTAATGCAAGGATCTTCAGAACACACTCAGCTGAACTTCAGGGGGACTTTTGTTGTTTTGCTTGTCACTAATAACTCATAAATGAGATTTTAGATTTATTTATGAATCAGGTACTGTGCAAAGGTCATGCACTAAAATAGTTCATTACTTTTCTCTTTTAAATGCATTTATGGGGATTCAGAGTAGGATGGAGCCCACCACAAGTTAACTAGAAGCATGAGAAAAGAAATAGAAATATTGTTAGTGAATAGAAATGTTGTTAGTGTTTAGACAACTGTTAGTATTAAGACAAGGCAAAACTTCTTTGCTTGGTCCTGTGAAGAACAATAAAACCTGTATTTTGTTTATAAACATTTATACGAATACTAGTCTAAAACTAGAGGCATTGAAATAGAAGATGTATATAGTATATTGTATATTGCTTTTCTTATAGAGTGTACCTTATGTTTCTAATATGGTGACAAACAGTAAATTTTTTTAGGACAACCTAAAAGGACCTTATTGTAACAAACAACATTATAGCAGGTCACATTATGAAAGCAAGATGTGAAGTCACAACACAGTGCAGGCATGTCACTAAAAGATAATTTGGAGTGCTCTTAAAAGGCTATTTTAGCCTTCTACTCTCTGTTAATAACATGTCTGCATGAGTTTGTAAAGTTTCTTCTTCTTGTTTGAGGCCTTTAGTGGCTCTGGATAAAGGAAGAGTAAAGAAGGCAAACTGCCCTCAGTTGCTTACACTCGGAAATGTTCATATTACCTAGGTGAGAGGAAGCAGAAAGAGAAAATCAAGTATCAACAAAAGTTGAATAGAAGAAGGCCATTTAACAAATGATTAGTTTCTTCTGAAGAAGGCCGAGGCTTTTGGCACTGTTTGCTTTAGGAAAAAAAAAAAAAAGAAAAAAAAAGAAAAAAAAAAGGCAGCAACTCATCAGGAAGAGATTCAGGACACATTCACTGATCTCTCTAGCCTGCAAGATTTACAGATAGCATCCTGTTTTCAAGCAACACATGGAGAAAGACCCCTTGCTCTGTGGAGGCCCATGTAAACAATAACTCACAAAATGGCAGTTTTAAAACAAGAAGAATAAACTTTATATTACATATTTTTCAGAAGCCTGAAGGGTCACAGCTACTAAGATATACATTCCGTTATAGGAAGAGCAGTACAAATGTTAAAGCTTTTAAGACCGTATGTAATTCACTGAATACACAATTTTCCCATGTCCTACACATATGGCACATCAATTTATTACATAGACTTATGTTCCCACGGAGGGATTAATACTGAATTCTGCTGTGTTACACCAGTGCTGCAGCCTTGAATAGTTCTTACTCAATGACACAACACAGGTTTGGTTAGTACCTACATTATGCACTTCAACTGTTCCCAGTCAAAGACAAAAATGGCAAAACCAAACTTTACTGTTTTGTTTTCAAGTAGATAAGTCTTTGGTTAGTAATAAAGTCAGTTGTTTGGGGGAAGCAATCATAACTGAAATGCTAATTTTCAACCAGAGGTACTTACTGTAAATTCCAGACCACTAAGACTGCCAAATGAATCACAATAAGGAAAGTGAAATGCAGCATGAGATGGTTTGTGTGGATTCTGCTTCTTTTGGCAGGTGGATTCCTTTGCTGAAAACTAGGAAAAGTAACCAGACAGGATTTTGCTGTTACTTTGATGGTTTCAGCATGGGAAGATCTTGGATTTGCTGAGTTTTCTGTTGTCTGTGTGAGCTCACAGTAGAAGTCTAACCTGCCACATCCTTTCATAGCAGATTGCAGGGTGCAGTTTTAAAATAATATCCAGATTTATGTAGTACAAAAATTGATCTCTTAACCATTACATTGGCAGAAACATCCAGATCCACCACCCTACTTCCTCTGTGTATTACTGAAATGGAAATACTTCTGTTAATTGGGTTATCCTTATCTCTATAAGAAATTCTATACAAACTGCTTAAGTTCACAGACATCACAGTGCTCCAAACCCTGACAGAGTGCTAGTATTATTTAGTGAAATCCAATGTTATTTTTATGGTAAGTATCCTTTCTTGACAGTGCAAGGTTGTAATCTCATTATTTAGTGCAGAATGCTTGTAGATTTGCAGTACAAGTTTCCTCAGAGTAACTTTATAGGCCACACTAAAATAAAATTATCAAATTACACAGAAATCATTTGCACCCAGGGAAGATTGGCCCATTACACAGGAGAGCAGACTTCGATCTAGTCAGTCTTCACATTTTAGGACAACAAATATTTTTATCCAGCTTGCAAAACAGAGAAGTTAGAAACAAGACAAGAAGTAATTCTCAGCATTCAGAAAGCGAAGGGTAAAACTGAACTCCTCCTTCCCTTTGCTCAACTCAGAGTAAACAACAGACCACCAGGATGGAGCTGATAACTCCTAATCTTAAAAATTCCTACTCCTAAAACTGAGCACTGTGGACTCAGGTGAACATCCCCCTTCCTACAAGAATCCAGGTTTCTTACTCATAACTACACCTTACCTCTACATGTCTGGTCCTTTTATTGGAGATGTTTGTGAGCATCTCAGAAAATTACCTTCAGGTTTTACTTTGGGAACTCTGAAATCAAAGGGAAAAGCCATACGATACAGTTCTAAGGCATCAGAGATTAATTGTTCTAGAATTACCTGCAGGGTAAACTAAGATGAGCCTGAATGAATTGCCATTTAAATCTCCAATTGCAGAATTGTATCAGGCTGCTGGAAGAAAGTGAAAGATTTAAACAAATAGCAGAAGCATGAGGTTTTCCATTCATGGTTTCATAAAATTCACAGTCTTTCCATTAGATGGGGGAGTCAGGATCACTGGGGCAGACAACTGTCAAATTGTTATCAGTTCTTCCAGGAGAGATACTGCATGCAGAGCTCAATTTGTTCTCAGAGGCTTTGGGAGAAGTCTGACCTATGACTTGATGGGCTCAGGCTGTGAAGTTCATGCCTATAATACTGGTGTATTTTGAAAAAGTCTCACAGTCATGAATTTATCCCACAGAAAGAATTATAAACCACAAGATTATCAGTAGCATTCAGTTACTTCTCTAAAGTTGCCTGTAGGGGGTGAGCAAAGTAGCAAAGAGAATAAGGAGATCATTTGTGACTGGCTGTACTCCAGACATTGGGTGTCCTCTGCTCCAGGACACCAGTGGTATAATACAGTTTAGGATCTGTGTGTTGCACCAGTGTATCACACAACCAGATGTACAAGGTCTCTTAAACACTCTGTGGAACCCTGCAAAGAGGAACTGCAGAATCATAGTAACCTGAGAAAGGTTAAAATCAAATCAAGAATAGATGAATGTCAGCCTCAGAAGTAGAGCCCATTAGTAGAACCCGTAGAACTCAGAAGGAAAATAAATAAAATAAAATAATAAAATAAAATAAAATAAAATAAAATAAAATAAAATAAAATAAAATAAAATAAAATAATAAAATAAAATAAAATAAAATAAAATAAAATAAAATAAAATAAAATAAAATAAAATATCATCAGTTCTCTTGGCTGGCTGAAAACATCCTGTCCGTGTTATTAATCTCTGAATACACCTGAATTTTATCAGCTTTAGGGCTGGTGATGACCATATCTCCCACTGAAGCAAGGATGGATGCCAAGGATGCATGACAGTTCAGAGCAATCCCAAAAGTAGGAGATAAAACCATCTACTATCTCAAGATAGCTATCAGACACTGCAGTGTCCACATATTGTGTATCGTTTTTATTACTAGCTATTTCTCTGTCTATTTTGTCATATTCTGTTCTATAATATAAAGAATGCCATGAAATGTGTGCAAAATGTGTAGGACGTGCAATGTAGATAACTGCTAGTGCTGCTTGTCCTGACGTTTCTATTTCACAATCAATCCCTCACACTGCAGTAATTCTGGAACACAGTGAATTTCAGGCAAATGGCATTGATGCTAACTAAATCTTAAAATCAAAATTAATCTTGGCCCTTTTTGAAATGATGACCAAAGACTTCTGCAAGCACAGAATTTACAAAAGAACTGTGTTTGCTTATTTCTAAAAGACACTGAGCATAAATGCTTTAAGTATTTTTCACAGTGATTTCATTCACTGACATTAGTTATTTATACCCTATACTGAGATCTGAAATTCAGAGATTTTATAGAATTGGTGTGCAGAAAACACATATACTACAGAGAAAAAAAAAAAAAAAAAAAAAAAAAAAAAAGTTCTAAAGAAAGTGGTGAAAATTATTCCTGAACTATAAGTAGATCTGCTTCTGAATATAAACGTAAAAAGAATTGCTTAAGTCATAGTACAGACTGCATGCAGCTACTGCCAGCTGTCTTCAGCTGAGATCCAGCCTGTACCTCACAAAACTTTTCACCTTAACTATACGGGCTAAGGCTCTCTTTCTGCAGTGGATGCAGCTCTTTTAGAGTCACACGCAGTACAGTGGAATTTCTCTCCTACTGAAATTAAATAATTGAAGGATTAAGAATAAATAATTCCTTCCTTCCTTCCTTCCTTCCTTCCTTCCTTCCTTCCTTCCTTCCTTCCTTCCTTCCTTCCTTCCTTCCTTCCTTCCTTCCTTCCTTCCCTTCCTTCCCTTCCTCCCTCCCTCTTTCCTTTCCTCCCCTCCACTTTTTTAATCCAAGCAGGTAGTAATACTAATTTGCAAACTCATAGCATAACAGAGTTTTATTTAAAATACAAATGTTTGATGTAATGAAAAATAATTATCCACTTTTTAGTAAAGATAGGCTGAGCTTTGAAAAGTTGCTTTCATTGTAGCTGTCTTATTAGATTTGGGATTTGGGAGTTTAATTTTTATTTTTCAGTGGAATAAGTTTAGTGATAAACTAACCCCTTATCCCCCCTCTCCCTCTCTCCCCTTGGAAGATAAAAATGTTACGTCAATGAATCTTCTTTCTCAGTATTCAAAAAATGCCTTTAACATAATGACTTTCACTGCCTAATGTGAGGTACTTGACTTTGAAAACACTGTGGCCAAACTGATTGAGCTGATAAAGCAGCCACTGCGAGCTGGATCAGGGAGGTGAATAAAACAGAAATAATACTAAACCCTGTCAATTCTTCCCATTGGCAACTCAGATTATTTTGAGATTATTATGGCTAACTTGCTTTGTGTTGAGCATTTTGTTGTTGCTTTTTCTCCACGTTATGACATTTTGATTTTACCTTCACCTCTGTTACTGAATTCATGCCTCTCTGGCAAGCACATTCTGTCTATTTTTAGCCCTGTGAGCTACTAATCCAGTTTCTCTGACAACTGCAATTTGTTGGAAGAAATGACTAGTGTTACGTTGTCTCAGAGCTATGAGCCCATTTGAGAAATTAGCTTCTTAGCTGACCTTTAAAGTAAGTGAGAATAATGTGCCTGCAGTTCTGTGGGGTTTGGATTTCATTATCGCAGCAGCATGTATGAGACGGGATGCCCCTGCTGCACAGCTTTGCCTCTGTTTTGTTTTCCTGGTAATTATAGAAACTGTTTACTGTACATGAAAAATCTGCAAGTTTTCTCAGCTCTTGAGGACAATACTATTTGTAATTCCTTTTCTCTGGAGAGAGTGACAGTTCACAGTGCAAAGGCCTGCTTCTTCCCAAGAAGAACTTTCCCACGGCCTCCCAAACCAAGACTGCAATGGAAATCACCACAGATGTCTATGGATCAGCATGGTGATAGCAAACAGAAAAGAGAAGTATGGGACTTGTACGGCAGCACAGCAGCTCTGATCTTTCCCACTCATCTCTGCTTCAGCACTCAGCCCAAGACCCTTTGTACTTCTGTCTGCAGCCTGGCCCTTGTCCCTGGCATGTTTCTCTCCACGTGTATATCTGCTTTTCTATCCTTTCACATCCTCCCGTTCTTATCAGCAGGGGATTGCATCTCACCTGCAGTGGGGCAGCTAGTCTGAACTAGTCCCCTACTAGTCCTCCTAGTCCAAACTAGTCCCCCACTAATCCTCCACCTCCATGCTGCAATCACTGGTGTGTCTCAGGAGGAGAGCACATGAAAGGCAGTGGCTTATCCCACTGCAAACATTTTATCTGGGGACTGTCACCCTCCAAGCTGCCAGGATGTCCACACTGACTGTAGAGGGAGGCTGCTGGACTAGCTCAGGCCAGACATAAGTTTTAAATACCTAAATTTAGGTTGGAAGAATTTCACTCAGTCTCACAGCAGTTCCCAAAATTCTTCATGCTCTAAAGCCTATTGGGTCACAGTATAACGTGGGCAGAGTGAGGTACAAGGATAATAAGCAATATTTCAGTATCAAAGGTGTTAATGGCTACAACTTAGAGAACCACTAATTGTTGCATGAGGCTATATAAATGCCAGGTCTTGGGATGGGAATTGTGGCTGCACTGGGCTTTGTTTAGGCTTCAGTAAAAGGCATGATGCTGATATGTTAGGGGTGTGTTTAAAGCCTGGCACTGGGATGGTGTATCTCTCTTAGTACACCCTAAACAAGCTGAGTTAAATCTTTAATCTTGGCCTTACCTAACGTGTAAGGCATTTTTACAGAAGGTACTTGGTGAAGTACTGTTCTTTTTGAAATTTGCTATAAATGACTTTTGGCTGCAAATGCTTTTGAAAACTCCATATACAGGATTGTTTCTGAAGAAAGAGTGTGAACTCTAGATTATGTCATAGGTTTTACATCTTTTTGTTTTGATACAACACTTCTAAACTTGCGGTTTAGACATTTCTAAACAATATTTACTAGCAAAGCATAAAAGCTTCCTTTTTTTAAGCGCTCACATATAATAACCATACCCCTACACACATTTTAAAGGCATTCCTACTATCATCTCCAAATTTATACCACTTGGCAAAGTACTTTACTTGTAATATTTTACACCCACTGACAGGTTTTGCATTCACCATCTAAACTTATAGAGGAATTCTGAGTGCTACCTTTAGAAAAGTCAAATGATATAAAAAAGAGGGGCATTCATCATTAATTTTTGCATTTAGAATTTTTAGACTCCTTTTTCCCCACAACTTTTCTCTGCATCTAGAGACTGAACTCTAATTTAAATATAAAGCAACTTTCTTTCTTCCCAAATTAACACATTTCTCATGCAACTTCACTAAAACTCTAAGGATAATCAACTCTCAAACTCATCCTAATGCCATGATAGTTCATGACATTATGTATAACACATTCTTGCATTTTGCCACATACCCAGAATATGGTCTGGGTCATGCAACTTCCAAACACACAAAAGCTGAGAATCAGCAGCACACCGCAGCTCTCTCCTACACAAATACTTCCCTTCACTTTCCTCAGATGCTTTCTCCATGTTGGTTTCTTACCCACACACTCTCAGGACCTGTGAGAAGTTTCTGGAGAGGAATGCTTACACACTTAAACACTAGCAAGCACTTGACACTTTTTTTTTTTTTTTTTTTTTTTTGAGATGTAATGGGAAAGTAAATCTCAGACTCAGCTTACTCCAAACTACCTCAGTAGATGAGCTAAACTGAATGGAGCTGCCAGGGCAGAGCTCTCTCCCTTAGGGTTCATCAGAATATTATAAAGGTGGGTAAAAAGCCTCATTCCCACCGAAGACCAGAGCATTTATATGCTCACAGCAACACATCTTAGAGCATCACCTTGCAGAAAGGTGTAAAATATGTAGAATACTGCATAGATTAGCAAGAACTCCAGATTTCATCATCCAGCACAGGTTAGCACTAGGAAAATGCACTTTTGCAGATGTTTAGATATTAAGAATTTGCTTCCATACATCATTATGAACAGTTTTTCAAAGGAACATAAATGATACAGATTTATAATCCACATTTCCTAAACTTATTTAGGCATTCAGAACCTTGGGATATTGAGCAAAGTTAGGTTCAGAAAGAGGTTGTGTTTAAACAAAGAAAATGGGATTGAGGAATAAATCCCCTGAGACTTTGAAAATCTTACCTTTGTATTACAAATGGAAAAAACCTAAACCAGGCAGCTGTGCTTTAATTATACAGTTTCAGAATGGTTTTAATCAATCAGAAATGCAACATAAACCTTTACAACGAATATATGTCTGTACCTCTTTTCTCTTTCCCATATGATCTCACTTTTAAAAAAGCTCTCCTTAATAGTTATTAATTTCTAAGCATGTGCCTCTGCAATAATCTCAGAAACTCTGATATTGATGCAACAGTGTGTTCCAGCTTCATTAGGGAAGGAAAAAATAATACCTTAGAGGTATGCTGATAATAAAAAATACTAAAATAAATTAAGCAGAATTCTTCTTCTTTAGATCTTATTCAGTCTTAACATCATTTTACCGCTGTGTCAAGCAGAACTTATCCATTGCTTATGGATATTCTGGTTTTAGTGCTGATATTTATCATTCTTGGGCTTTTCTTACATATGGTACTGTTTTATTTTATTTATTTTTATTTTTTTTTTTGTAGGATAGAAGACCAGTCTTACTCAGTATGCAGTCTTTAAGGTATTCTGTTTACAACTGAAAGTGTTTTCTAAGTCTGATTTTGCCCTTGCTTAAGTAGGAACAAATATTTTTAGAAAACTAGCAAAGAGACAACACCTCACAAAATGAAATTATTCCACTACATACTCTTCTCCCATGGGGAAGAGGATGAAAGGACAAACAATACACGACAGGTTGTTAGTATGTCATCGCATGTTCTGCTAAAAGCTGCTTTTTTAAAGCAACAGGTGTTGTACAGGAACCTACACAGAACAGATTAGCATGGCTTAATTTATTGCTTGAAGAGTAGTCATGAGAAAGTATTGCTAGGGAATAAGACTACTGTCAAGAAAACAGGTAGCTCAATACATGACCTTCTGCTGATAGAAAGTTAATTTTGGGCCTACAAATTCACAAAAGCAAGAAAAATGTAGATTAATGATAACCTAGCAACTATCCCTCTGTCCTTTAGAATTTATGTACATTATCATCATCTTTACAACAGGATAACTAAAAAGGCTTATATAGGCATTCTGGAATATATTTCACGTAAAGATGGCACAGATGTTTTGCATAATTTGGCAAGGAGCTCAAAGCCCAAGAGCTTTTCTAAATAACATTCACAATGGCATCCAGAAGTTGCAACTGGCAGCACTCGTATCATATGTAAATGGTTCAGGCATTGGAAGGAAGAGATTTCCAGGACTGTAATAGCCCCTGTTCTTGATAGTCACCATGACTACCGTATCAAACCTCTATTTATCCAGGAATATACTTATATATCCCTCTGCCACTTACAATGCGGAACTCTGAAAAGCAGCACAGACCAAAAGGTTTGAGACACAGCATTTGGGCTTGAGAGAGATTAATTCAGCGGGATCAATCTCACTTCTCTTGGGCGTCTTAAAAAGTAGATCTAGTCTAAGTCAGCTCTCTGTGGTCAGTGAAAAACAAGCACACTCAGGGATTCAGGCAGCCTCACGCTGTGACTAGAAGAGGGGGGGGCAAGTACCTGAAGTGTTTACCTGTCCCCCAGTCTTCATATGAAACTTGATTTTTGGAATGGTAAAGCAGAAGTGGGTTAAGGAGCTGACAGCAGAAGCAAGCCTTGCTGAATCCCAGTGCTCCACTCCGCTCCCTCTCTTCTAACCATAAAACAGGTATGACACTTCTTTCTCTGACACCCAGTGTCTTCTCTCTTTGTCCCCAGATGAAACACATTCTGCCTCACTTTGTCTTTGGCAACTAAAATCCCAGGAGCGGATGGACAGTTTAACCTCTGCCTGCACTGATCTTTTTTCTAAGGCTGCCAACACAGCTGCCACTTTGCACCATTTACAAAATCGGCCTCTCTAATATGAACCTCAGCCCCTAGGGAAGCACTCATGCTGGGATACTAACCTGGACCACAGACAGTTGGAGGTTAATCTTCCTAAACCACAGGAAAATGTAAGCCTGTGCAAAGGTGAATGATTTGTGGCCTATGACTGAATTGCTACGTTCCTCAGCTTCACTGTTTTGCTTGCATGATTAATAGCCAAGTCACAAAAGAACAGACATACATACGAGGTTAAACAGTTTATAGATTTTTGTTGTAAAGTTGCTCATACACTGCAAATTAATAACATTGTTGGGGAATAACTTCTAGCTGCATGGATAAACTTAGTGTTTACAAAAGTCAAAGACAGACATGCAGCAGACTGTTACTGCACTGACTTCACCCAAATCCCCTAGTGAAAACTTGCACTGTGGTTCTCCCCCTCTCTACAGACGTGTGTGCCTGCTCTGTCACTGTAGCAGTTCTGTCTGCTGCAAAGACGACTAAGATCAGCCCTTTAATCCCACTTATTCTTTAGATATAAACAGCCATGTCAACAGATGCTAATGAGAACAATAATAAGAATTACTATCTATGCTACATACAGGCTGCAAAACAAAGGAGAGTGGAGGTCTTCTGAAGAACAGAGCAGAAAAGAACATGCAAGGTGATGGAAGTATGAATAAGAGCAGCAGCAGATCAGCTCCTGCCTCTCGAGTCTCCTGCACAGTCTGCATCAGCTCCTGCAAGCCTGTCACTGGCATCCTTAAACCCAGTTCTTGAAGGAAGGGAACCAACTGTTTCTGGGTTTGACAAGCTTTCTTTTGTTTCAGTTTTTGTTGCTAATTTAAGCATGTTGCTGTTTCCAATATTAAAAATGAATAATTTTGCAAAAGACTACCAGAATCCAAAAACAGTCATAAGTTTTGAGACAGGTAATTACTCTCCTCAGTGAGCTCTCAGCACTCAGCAGAGGTTAGGTAGTAGCTTCCAGCTGGAAGAGAACCCAGAAAATGCAAGAAATTTGTGATGCTGCAGTTGGATTAGATGTTGGCAGGACAGACTGCATGAGGTAAGCACGTTTGACAGCTTGTGGAGGCTGAAGAACATGAAACCTGTTACACTCATCCCAACAACTGACACAGGTTTCATGCTAATTTTCAATTCAACACAGCAGTTTTGTGGTGGTATTTTGTTTTGTTTTTCCCTTCATTTTAAAGTCTGCAGGGAGAAGAATCTGGTCACAGCAAGAAGTAGGTAACGTGAAATCAATTAGCACAATATAAGTCTCAGGGCAGTGCACACATTTAAATGTATGCAACACATCATGGTTCTGCACTGTTTGCTTTATACAGGGAAAAAAAAAAAAAAAAAAAAAAAGGAATAAAAGGAATGTTAGTGGAAAAAAGAGAGAAGGTGTAAACCTGATGCCTCTGCTGAGCACGCCAGGGACCACCATGAGCCCAGGAGACAGCACCGTGAAGAGGCACATACACACATGAACTGCAGCAAGGCTTGTTTGTAACTCAACTGAAAGGATTTCTTCTTCTGAAGAGGCAATTCTCACAGAATATTTCTAAAGTTTCAAAAGTTTGGTTTTCTGTTTGCAGAGGCTTGTTTCCAGGCTCCAGAACAGCCTTCCGAACAAATTCGCATCTGAAACTGTATATGGGAATGAGCAATAAAGCCAAACCCACAACCACAGTTAATGACTATGGGCTCTTTGGAATTAAAACAGCAAAATCCTGTGGGATTCTGCAAGACAACCACACTTTTAGAATCCTAGCTTACCAGCAATTCTCCCATGCCGTGGCTTTTGCCTTTGTACAGCTGATATTACGAGTAATACTGAACAAAATTTAATCCACCCCTCTACCCTTTCCATCACTGCTTTCCTCTTACTCTGACTTCCTGACCTCTATGCAGTGCATCACAGAAAAGGCTGTGTGAAGGGGAGCTTAAAGAAGATTGAGAAATCTGACACGAAATCTCTAAAAAGTTCTCCGAGAGGGTAACTGCTGCCTTTGTTTACTTCGGCCTCACAACTTTTGCACTAGAAGTTGGCCACTGAGTCTGCCTCTGTGGTCAGTCCCTGGTCTGCAGTCTGAGCCTGGAGCAGAGGGAAGGTGAACAGAACAAGTCTGTGGCACAGGAACCGATGACCCCAGCTAGGGTCCTTGTCAACCTCCTCCCCATACAGGCACTTTTCAGTAGATCTCTTCCCTTAATCTTCAGAGAGGGTGGTTTTGGTTCTTACAAAACCTCGAGCCAGCAGGTGTTGCTACTTGCAGCTAAGCAAAAAAACATAGGTATGTAACTTCTTAATCAGAGGAAAAAAAATCTATTTTATATGAAAGAAAATATCATAAGGAAATTCCAACTACAGTATGTGATTTCTACATCCATTTCAGCACCTCTGTGCTCTCGACCTCATCATCCCAAGGTAAAAACTCTGAAAGCCCTTTTATTTATAAAGGCAGTGCCAGACAAATAAGAAAGTTTTCTCTACCACTAAAAAAGTAGTGTTGGAGAAACATTTAATTTGACTATGATCTAACTGACTTCACAGCATCAGCCTTGCTAATGAACTTCATTTTACTTCATAAAGGTGTCCAACAAAATAAATTTGTAACCTAATATTACAGGAAGTAGATACAACCACTAAGTTAAACAGTGCTGAGAATCTTTCACACTTTTCTCACACTGAGATAGAAAAATGCCTCTAGAGAGTCTACACTTTTCCATTAACTTCACTTGTCATAACACAGGAGCAAATAACACAATACATGGCATCAGTGCTGAAGTTTTGGATGTGCTACCTTTACACAAGCTTACAAAAGGCAGAGACTATATACTTTCATACAATAAATCTACTCTAATCTGGGGAGCCAGCTGATTTATTGGCAAACATTGTCTTTGTCTCCATGGTGATACCAATTTTCAGTTTTTTTCAGTGATCTCATATTCCCTTACAGAATAAACAGTTACTTGAGAGGATGAGGATGGTGCTACAGACTTTTGGATTGCTTCTCCAATTTACTAGTTGAATTACCTTTTAACCTCAACTTTTCATTAAAATGTTTCCAGGGATCTACCAAGATCACTCACAGGATTAACAGGATTAACATTTCCTATTGGCAACTGTGAGAGAAGGGATATTGAGCAATAAGTATGCTTTTGGTATGAACCTCTGTGTTTGTTGTCTTCACAGACGACTGTGGGTGGTGAGAAGAGAAACAAGAGTTTGGCCAGAGAGATTAGTAATCTGACATCAACAACTACTGAACAATAAGGATGTGCCAGTAAAGTAAGAATGAAATTTCATTGTATTGATAGCTGTTAGAAAAAATAAAATTAAATTAAAAATCACTCTAGGGAATTAGTTAATGACATCAAAACCACAGCTTTATTATCTAGGAAGTAGTGTTCCAGTTCCCATGGTCAAACTACAACTTTGTTCCATTTATAATTCTTCCAGGTCTCACTGGTGTTCACTAGAAAAAATGCATGCTACATCCTGTGTATACAAAAACTAATGGATATAGGCTAAAAATTTGTCATCTGATGCAGAAACTTCTTGGATCTGTAGTTTGGATGGAAATTCTGAAACCTCAAGCTTGAACACTTTTCATCAAGTCATTTTTTCAGATAGCAGAGCTGCAGATGCTGTTTATCAAGGTAGATAGACGAAAAACTCCTCCAATCACAAAGATGCTGTAATAACTATGGAAGAAATCTTTCACATCAGTTCCTCTAGAAAGCAAGGGAATTTCCATTTAAGTAATATTCACAGAATGGTTTGGGTTGGAAGAGACCTTAAAGATCATCTAGTTCCAGCCCCCCTGCCATGCCCATGCAGCTACTCTCTTCATCAAGAAAATATACTGTATAATAAGTTCAGGTTTCCTCTACATGCTGAAGTCTGCATAGGTTCAAGATAGTCCTTTCTCATCCAGACAGCCTTCGTGGAAAGGAAGCCTGAAATTTGTTCAGCAACAGGCTAGTGGTGCCACACTGATCTGTTCCCATCCCAAGCTGGGTCAAAAGGGAGAAATACAGCACTGTCATTGCCTCCACAGAAAGATCTAACAGGATAATTTGGAAACACGGAGAATGGTATTTACTCATTTTCAAAAGGTGCTTCAAGTTTTGATTACTAAATCCATAAGTAAGATCCTAATCTCTGGTCTGGATTATAGAAATGCTGAGCTTTTCACGCCTTCTTGTGCTGTTGAGTCTTGACTTTGATTTCGCTTTGAGCAGGCCCATGTAAAGCTAAGCCACTTTCAAATCACTGCTCTGTTTGTCTACTAAGGTAGAACAGAAAAATAGTGGCTCACTTCAGTAGGACCCAAAGGGAAGTACACCTGCAGAAGAAAACTTATTACCATTATTTTTGAAAAGGAAAGCCAAAGAAATAAACACTGTCTGAAAATGTGTCTACAGGGGGACAGATCTACATTTTGTTTCTTGTTTCTGTTGGTTTCACTGAAGAAAATAAAGCTATATTAATTTTCACCAGGAAAGAATTGGGCTGTAGTTTGATTTTCTTTTAATTTTTTATTGATATTGATGCATCTAAATTTGAACTGCCATTTGCATTAAAACTAGGGAATTATTTCCTCACCATTTTCAGTGGATGTTGGCTTACAGTTGATAAAGCGGGGGACCTTTCATCCTCACCAACAGAGGAAATTTCCAAAACAGCATTTTAATAACAGATAGAATTTTTATAATCTAAGTAGAATAGGAGCACAAGTCCTATTAAAAAATGGAAAACCAGTACCCAGAGAGCTTTCGGTGTTTGCTGAATGCTCCCAGAGTAAGGTTTTACAAGATCAATTTTTTAATAAAGGTCCAGGACTTCTACCAAATATCAGTTTGGCTGCTGCTTCTGTGGGAAACAAGCCCCACTGTGTATAACAGAACTTTTCTGTTAACAAATTGATCTTTTACATTTTGTTTGCTTTGTCCTGGAAAGACTGGACACACAAGACTGTAGGACAAATACCAAACATTATTTTGTATAAGCAAGACAATGCTCATCTAAAGCTTTAGCATAAACATCAGGTAAATAGGTTTGCCAAAGTGTTTTGTTTTTTTTTTTTTCCTTTAAAATATTGATATTTTGCTGCCAAAAAGTCAAAAAATGACTTTTTCTTATTCGTATAACAATAAGATCTGATAGGTAGAATATATGAAATATACAGTAGCTTCTTCTGAAAAGCTATCTAAGCTCACTCAGCTTACAGTATGTGGAATGTAATTATCCAGAAAGTGAAATATGTATAAAAATAGGTAAAATCCCTACAACATTTATACTGAATTATAATTCCTCCTTTCAGGAAGGTTACAACAGCTCTACAGTATATGTATGAAATGTTTGTTCATAAAGTTAAAAAACATCATTACTTTACTGAAGAACACATTAAATGTAGGAATGCATAATCAGAACTGACTCCCAATTCTGCTTAGCTGGTGCAAATCTACAAAGAACCATCACCCTTTTGGCACAAAACAAAACCAACCTCTAATGTGAGTTGGGGGTTTTGTCTTGTTTGTTTTTATTTGTCATAAAGGGGCCAGACTCAAGTTTATGAATGAAATTCCTCAAACGTGGAAGTATGTTTTTTAAATGTTTTTTTTTGTTTTTGTTTTTTTTCCCTGTCTCCACTTTGTTTACTGACAGCAGTCACCCACCTTTTAAAATGATTATTGCCTGACATTACATGAAGCTTTTACTGCTTGTTCAGGACAAGGCAGTGAAATAGAAGAACCTCCAACTCCCCTGTCATGACCCAGTTCTGGGCTTGTGCTTTTTTGATGAGTCTTTGATCTGCAGCAGGCCTCATAGGCTAGTCTCCCGGAGGAACATGGTGCCAATGTTGTAAGAAACTTTTCTCACTCTGGCAGATGTGATGGAGGATTTTGGCTGTTTCTGACCACTTCTGACCTCGAGGAAGTAACAGATCCCAGGAATTTCCTTTGGAAAGTTTTCTGGAAGCTCTTCACGGGAACGAGGGATAAAAATAAAATTTTCTTCCTTTTTCAAAAGCCTGAAAAAAAAAAAAAAAAAAAAAAAGGAAACAGAAGGAGATAAAAATATAAAAAATTTAAAACTGTACAGACACATCTCTTTGAAAGATATTGGTCCTGTGTGATCCCAAATAAAAAAAAAAAAATAGTTAAAAAGTACCATGTAACATCTAAATTATCCTGTGCCAGGATCCCCAACCAATACATATTAACCTAGCATTATACATATTAACCTAACTTCAAGGACCTCTGTTGACTGAGACCAAATGAGGAAATGGCCCAAATAAACCCAATGTCTGACAAGCAGTGTCAGCATTCAGAAAGACATGTGGCAGAAAGTGAGAAAGAACTGAAATCTGCTACTATCCACCAAAAGTACCTGTGGCATTAATATAACTCATTTTCCTCATCTCAGCAAAAAAAGAGTAATATGAGAAATATTAACCTGGGACATCTGGTTGGGGTCAGAAAAGGATCCAGGCTCATAGGAGGCATGAAGCCATCCCTACTTTCTTCCAGCCATGCTATGCAAGTGGTACAATGTCACAGCCTGACTATACTGCCTACTGACATTTGTAGCCTTTCTCCACAGTGGAAAATCTCTGTCTGGATAGATCTGATAGTTTGGGGCCTATTCACCAATTATCTTCCCTGAAACCATCTGGAGCTGTTAAATAAAGAAAATAAGTCTACACAATTTTCTTTTTGTTTCCAGTAAATTAAGTTAGGGGTTTTCATTCTCTTGCAGAACTGAAAAGAGAAGCTTTGAGGTAATAATAAATTCTCAGCACAGTTGGATATATGAAAGTAGTCTTAGTCTTTTCCCCTTTCAAGATATTTTTTCTTTCTTTCAGTCAGCACTATTTTAAACTCAAAAACATCACGAGAAAGAACCTTATTACCTTCAGCAGATTTTATAATAGGTTGTTTATTTAATATCTCTAAAACTGATTTCTCAGAAGTAAGTGAATGAATGAATCCCGTTGCTGGATTCTCAGCACATTTAATGGAATTTCCTTTGCTGATTTTTTTTTTTTTTTTTTTTTTTTTGGCTGAGGGAATCCATTTGAGCTCCATACAACTCATTGAAATATAAAAGCATTTTCTTCTCAGCTTTTATCAGATGTTTGTAAGTCCAACAATTTTTCTGCATTTGAACTTCCATGGTGGTCTTTGTTTACCATGTGGTTTGAGTACCATAATCTATTTTCCAGGCTGTCAATTTTATGAGGAAATACTATAATCTTTTCTAAATTGGGCGAGAGTTTGCAGAGGCCTCTGTAGAGAAGCTTCTCTTCTTTCATCTCTTCAATGCTTGCAGTAAATATCCTGCACTTTAAAACTACTGGTTTAACACACTGAAGCAACTGTTCTCTGCTTCCAAAAGTAGATTTTTGCAAGCAACAGTTGAAGTCTTAGAGCTTTCAGAGCTAAATCCATAAGTGCTCAGTGCAGTTTTTCTTCCCCCAAACTGACTATTCATTACAGAGCATCTAACCTTCCTAAAAAATCAATGGTTCCCTCTTGGAGCCCAGCATTATCTAATTGTAATGACAGTTACACAAGTCTGAAACTGTAATAGATAGATAGATAAATAGATACATAGATAGATAGATTTAATTCAGGGCTTGCACTGAGTTTAGGTGATATTTTCACACTATTTTTCTCATTGGGCCAAAGTACAATATATTAATTAAAAGCCTTATTTTCACCTGTTTTGTGAATTGTAACTTGGTCACAATTAAATGCTCTGACAGTACCAAAGGTGCCAGGAGTGATGGGTAACTAATCCATTAGTCCTTGTACAGCTATTTGGAAATTTGTCCACTACTATGGCTCATGATAGACTCTACATCATTATATTAGGTGCACTATTTGTATTAGCCTCTCACCCTCAGAAATTGTCTAACTGACCTTTACTGTGATAAGATTTCAGCCTCCAAGCAAGCACAGCAGGAAATCTTCCTCTTTAACAAATACTAATGGAAGATACTTGCAATCATATTATATGTTCCTTACTTTACTTTATACACTCAAGATATATATATATATTTATCTTATATATATATATATATATATATATATATATACATGTATATTCGCTGGCTTTTATTAGAAAGACTTTAAACAGGACAAACATTGTCTCTTTTCAGTCCACTTCTAAATAACAGGTTATTTGTATTCCCTAAATATACTTGTCCTGGCACTTGGTTTCTCAGACTGTGAATAAAATCAGGTTTCATAAATTGCCTTTGATTTCTTATAGCTTTCTGTATACACTAAAGAAGAAGTTATCTACTTATCCTCAGTGCTTAGCAGTGAGGACATTTTTCTCCAGGAATCTTTCCTCCTATATTATGCTACTGGTGATGTTAAAAAGAAAAGAGTACCAGCTGATGGCCACAGCCCAGGTCTTCAGCCCTTGCTAAATTTCTTATCTTCCTCTTCAAAGGTACAAGGAGCCCCAAAAGATGCTTCTGCCAAGAGCCGAATAATAGTGCAGATCCTCACTGGGGGCAAGGGTGAGCCACACAGTCAGTTTCTGCATTTCCCCTCTGACTCTGGGGAAGAACCAGTGTAAAACCTCCTCATCCGGAAGGCATCCTGAGTGGTGGCACCCGGGTCTGGTTGTCAGTCTTACCTTGCAGACCATTCTCAGAGCATTTTGTTGTGACCAAGTCAGACTTCCTGCTCCAAAAGTCTGAGAGCACAGCCCATCCAGATCCTGAGAGCAGAATCTATCCTTCAGCTTCAGGAAATTATATGATGGCTTAAACTCTACATAAGGCATTTCAAATCCCCACAGTGTCCCACAGTCATAGAGCTTGATTTGAAGTAGCACAACCTCAGCAGTTCAGGAATATGCATATAACAACTAGTCTGAATCTATTCCAAAGCATTTGTCTCAGCTGTCTTTCCTGCATCACTTTTGTGTGTTTCCCTTGAGAGCACTATTGTAAATGACGTTCCTATAGTAGATTATTCACACAGTCAGAACTCTGGTTTCCGCTCAAGTAGTTGGATAAACAATTTACAATCAATGATTATATTGTGAGGGTCAGGCTACTCAAGCATGCCTATAAATTGCCTGGAACCAGGTCTGCTATCAGCTTGTCTTTTTTGTTGATGTTTCAGAGGAGGAAGAATTTCTTAAACACTGACTTGTAGTTGATTAATATGACAGCATCCCCTCGTAACCTGAAATCTTCCAGAACAGTCTAAATTCTTGTTCTATCCCTTCCCTGATGGGAAAAGAAAGGGAAAAAAGAAAAGGATGTCAGCACTGGAAACATTTTTTCTAGTAGAAACAGGAAGCATTTGAAGGACGTCTGTGTGTTAATTAAAATTGGGATCACACTTAATGGGAATTTTGTAGAAACTGAAATGTTTTGGCTCTTCTTTTTTTTTCATAGATGTTATGATAGGAGAATTATATTTCAGACTATTTTGGCAGGAAATAGTTACATCTTCATCAGCAAGTGCCTATACTCAGAAAATGAGCTATCTGTGCATGGATTTATCTGTTGCAAGGCTCTCTACATTAGGGGCAAGCTTTGCACCATTATTCTTTTTCTCTCTGTGCACATCGGAAGACAGTTTCACCTCTTTTATGATTTTACAATCTATTTATTTACTTATTTATTTTTGTGAAAAAATAAACTGCTCCATTCCCTCCCAAACAAGACACTTCCACAAGCTGAAGCCTCTGCCCAAAGGGAAGAATAAGATGGTAAGAGGAGCAGCCACTTAGCAGGCTGGAATAGCAATTCCTCTGGAAATATGAAAGAGCATGTCCTTTGGAAATACAAACAATTATGTACCTTGAGAACTTTATTTCCAAAGCAAAAGAAAGAGATTATGATCACATGTGCTAATTCAACTCTACTTGCTTTGAGAAGCAACAGTGCTGAGGAAGTAGTACTTGACTAAGCTTCATCATGCTCAAATACTTTTCACCCAGAGGATACACTGCCCATATGGTGCCTGAAAACCTATAAAATATTGAGTAGTGCTTGCTGGATAAGGCTGACAGATTGCCATGTAGCAGCAAACAGAAAATGAGACTGAGAAAAAAATGACTCTGTCTGGTTCAAATTATTTTCACGTTGTACTTAACTATTTTTGAATTTATGGAAGTTCATGTATCGGTGTTTTTGCTTCATGTAGACCAATTTTAATAAGATTATGAGAGGACTCATCCTGTTTTTTTAATGCAATATGTTGTATATCACATGCAGCTCTGCGCGGTAAGTGCCTATCACTGACCTTTAATACCTTAATTGCTTACCCAGCTAAGCAGAATTAAAACTGTATCTGCTCTCTGTTCAGAACATTAGAGAATTAGGCTCAGTGAATAGGACTGTAGCATCACAAGTGAAAGGCCACAGACTTTGCCTTGACCTAATAGTGCTGGCCTCAGGATTTGCCTGTATTTGCCTAGTCTTGAACTTATTTTAGTTCTACCAGATTTCTATCAGTCATATTGCAAAAATAACTTGTTAGCTGTGTGGAATTATGTGGTGTAGCGTCTACTGTTACCTACCTGACAGTGATCTAACAAGTCCTTCTGTGTAGCATGAACTACCTATAATCCTCAAATGAAAATGGAGTGCAATGGAGCACAGGCACAGGCAGAGAACAGAGGCCCAGGACCTTAATCACAAATAAGAGACTATTGGAGTGCAGCCTCATGGAGGCAGATGACACAGGTTGTAGGAACAAAAGGAAATATTAAAAAACAGGAATAAACTGATGTGTTTGGAATTGACTTTTAATGCTCTAATTAGACTAACTGATTTTTTTGTGTGTCCACATACAAGCTGTGTTCCCTTTTGGTCCACACAACTAAATTGTCTGTCCAATAATATGTCTCATGGAAGCACACGTGGTGAACTGAGTGATGTAAAAAGAAACAGCTTTTTAAAGAATTGTCAGAAATAAAATTTAAAATAATCTGAAAAGGCTCTTGGAGGACAAATCCATGTGTTTGCCCATGTGCTATAGCAAAATACAGACATAC